GAAGGCGTAACAAATCCATAGATGGGTAAGTTAGAGGGGAGTCAGACACCAAATCTTTAACGATGCTGCGAATCTGCCGCTGATTGTCTGCTTCTGACCTCATTGAGGCCATCTGAATCGAGTGGACTGGGTGTTGGTTGAGCCCTTCCCAACTTAGCATGATTGTCATGCGAATTTTCTCTATCCACCAAGCGAAAGCAACTAGGTGAGCAACTTCTATCTCTAGTCCTAATAACAGGACCATCGCACTGGTCTAGTTCCGGTGGTCATCCACCTCGGTCATCTGTTCGGTCGGCTTCTAGTCCATGCTTAGCTTCACCCGGATTAGGTGGGCCACTAGCTTTTTCCTGAGGCTCTGAAAGGTTGTGTATTAGGTTGTGGGCTGCAAGTGAGGTTGTAGAGGGGGTTGGGAAGGGTATAGCTTCGACCATAGCTAGATCTATAGACCTTGGAAAGGGGGTGTCAGATGGACTCTGTGTTGATAACGTGTTGGCAGAGGATGAAGAGACCATAGCTTGATCACAAAGTGGGGGATCTGCCCTGGCTTCATTAGGAAGATATGGTGTACTGACCTCAAGATTTTGCTGTGATGTTTGATGCAGAAAGGGTGTAGTGGAATCCATTGGCTGGGGGGGTTTAACCCTACTTTCTCTTTGCCTTTAGGGTCATTGGGTTGGTTTAGGCTTGTCACCTTATTGGGCTGGCTTTGATCTTTAGAAATACCCGATTTGTTAGTTTCTCAGAACTAACTGGGTCCTCCTTCAAAGCTTTGAATTTGTTGTCCTTAGAAACTGGGCCAGATGTGGTGTGGGCCCGCTTGGGCTGGATTGGTCTTCTACCATTTTTCTTGGCAAGCATCCATGGGCCAAATGGATTAGTCTCTCATCGCCCAGATTGTAAATGGTCGTTGGCTTCTGCCATGGGATTGTCAGGGGTACCATCACCGGAAACGGCTATATTATTCGCCGTTGGGTACCATCAAGATAAAGCATGCATGTTATGTTTTCAAAGAATAGAGTGTTGTTTTGCATTGGCAAGCTTTTGAGGCTTGATTTGTGAAATGATTTTGAATTCACCATGTTTTATCCATTTACAAGTGTTTTCTTAAGTTTCCTCAAGTTTTTGGCCCAAAAGACCATGATTTACGACTTTGAAATTGAATTTTGCACTTGGCAGAGCAATCTAGAAATTCCAGATCTTGCCTCTCCGCTCGAGCGATAGATCCTATGCTCGAGCGACCACTCCGTGATTTTCACTTCCACTCGAGCAACCTATAGTTGGCTCGAGCGTAAAATGCATACTCCAGAAGTTTACATGTTTTGCAAACCACTTGAGCGACAATAGTTGTGTTCGAGCGAAGACCTCAATCACAGGCTCAAGCGACCGTCGAGCGATTGTTGAGTGAAAATTTCACACAATCAGTACTTTTGCAGAGTTTACAGACTGCTCAAGCGAGGGAATTTGCGCTCGAGCAACCACTTACATGTTTGGACATCCGCTCGAGCGAAGGACATTGCACTCAAGTGATACCCTTGTTTTTAGCAAATTTGATTAAGTGTTCTGAATCACATTTTGGCATCATCATTGCATCCTAGGCATTCTTAAGCCTTATTTAAGACAGAATAATAAGGAAAAGAGGTAGAACACAACAATATAAGAAAGAACTAAGTTACGATTCCAGGTGTGTGATTCTATACGTATTCGTTTTGTATCTGTGTAGGTCACGCGCCGTAAGTTATCTGATCTGCCTACTTTATCTGTTTGCTTTGGAGCCATTTATGAGTAATAACTCTGTAAAGTTATGTTTAACTTCAACTATTTTCTGATGATATGAAATGATCTATTTTCTGAAACGCTATTTTGTGAATCATGAATGAATATCCATTTTCCTGATATGTAATTATGGCATCCTATATTCATGTGGACCTCGCCCAGGGGTAACAATACCGTGGTCCATATACACGTGGCCCTTGCCCGAGCGTAACAATACCGAGGCCTATACCACGTGGCCCTCGCCTGGGGATAACAATACCATGGCTACTTGTGCACAAGGTGTGGACCCATGTGGTCGTCGGTACCGACTATGCAAATTTGATATGTTGTGATAGTTAAATGGATGTACTACAAATATCTGCTTATGATTTCTGGATAAGTACGTAGGTCTGAATTTGTTTCTGATCTGAAATATGATATGGGACATCATTCATTAAACTCTTTACTTTGTTATTATTCAATGGGCTCCGCTCATCATTTATGTATATATGTAGGTGACCAGGCGCGTGACCAGGCTCAATGAAGATTGCCTGGAGAGTTTTTGTCAGCCAGCCTTTGTGCCTCCCGAGAAGGTTCCGTATGTTTTGTGGTCATGTTTTGTGAACGTATAAGGCTTTGTTTTCTCTCCAGATTATGAACAAGTTTCTTGTTAATTGTATATTAGGCTAAGTCCCCTTTGGCTATATTTATAATCAATGTGACATAAGACTACTACATTATGACGTCACGTCTATGTGTATAAGGTATGAAAATTTTCTGTCTCATATATGTCTCTACAGCTCAATAGACTATGTATGTTTCCTTATTTGCTTCCGCAGCCCCTAATTATAAGTTATTATGTTCAGAGGCCTTTGGTAATCTAAGGATTACTGGCCGGTTACGACGCTAAACCTGTACGAGCGGGTTTGGATCGTGACATAAAATGAACATACCTTTGTCAACCATTAAATTAGAGAAGTTGAGAAAATACCCCTAATAGTTGAATCTTGAATTCTTGGCTCACCTTCTTCTCTAGGTCTCTCTTAATTAGGATGACTATAGAACTTAGAGTGATGGAAAAATATTCATATTATGTAAGGGGAGTAAAATTGTTTTGGGCTGCTGAGATAGCTCTCTCTTGTGCTTTAGGTTGGTGTCTTACCAACTGTGGGTGGGTGGTGATTTCTTTTTCTTTGTTTATTGATAATTGTCTATGTATTTGCTTGATCATTATGAATAAATTTTCCTTTTGGCTGTTCCAAAAAAAAAATAAATGTGAGAGGAGTCACCCATCCTTATATAGAGAAGAGAAGAGGATCAGATAAACTATATCAGAAGAATTCTTGTCCATCAGGGTTTCATACTTGTCTTAGAAAAGTAATTATCCCATATTTAAAATTTTAATTACTGAATTTTATCTCAGATATTAGTTTTATCTAGTTGTGGAATCCAATAAAATAAAACATATGAAAGATATGTAGGCTATTGGGTCACACCAGAAAATAAATCTAACAGACACGTCACACATGTTTGGATTATATTTATTTAAATAAAAAAAGAAAACAATGACAAGGATGATTTCAAAAATAAACGGTTCATTTGTTTTAACATAAATATAATCTAAATTTGTAAATATGTATCTATTAATATTCGATTAATTTAATTTTTACATAAAAAATTTAATCGGAAGACACTAAAATTTAAAATTTGAAAGATTCAAATCACCAAAATAAATTGGACCGAGCCTTACTTGGATCCACATGTTTACTTTTAAGAAAATTACACTAATCTCGCAACTTTACATAGAACTATAAATTTGAAGTCAACATGTCAGATTGATCCCGACCATTTGCATGATGGGCATGTTACGTATTGACGAGTTGGACCACCTTCTAAGTGGTAAATCATTTGACCTAGCCCACAGAGTGTAGATTTCAGTGGGCCACCTATAAATTTGGTGAACCCCCTCTTGCTCTGGCCCATCAAAACTACCCCTTCCAATCCATTGTCCCAAAAAATTTAAATGGCAAGGTCTATACTATAGGGCTAACCCCAAGTAAGCTTTGGCTGATTTTGGTCCCTCTCTTAAGCTCTCCAAATTATTTTTAGGTAAGAATTCAAAATATAAATCTTTACCTTCTTATGATCATCGTACCTCCAATCTTCAATTTATTCTAGTGCTATTCGCAACTATAACAAAAGGCTTTGTGAATTAAGCACTCTTCAACCTCCGTCTCTTTATCAAGCCTAGTGTGCTCTACAAGCAGCAAAGGTTTTGGGAATTGATTTTGAAGGTAGAGAGAGTTTGTTCTCAATAATTTTATTGAAATGGAGTTGAATAACTAGGTAAGATTCTCCAAAATTAATAAATGCAAGAAATGAAGCTCCTCTTGTGAAATCTTATTAAGAGGTTTAGGGAGGCTGAAAATGAATTGCATGGCAGGCAAGACTTAAGCGCTTGTAAGTAGAGGGTGGGAATTCAACTCCTTCATGTGCTAATCTAACAGCTAACCTATGCTTTTTTTTCTGAATTTCCATGATCCACAATGGTAAATTCTCTTCGCAATCATGTTTTCCAGAGGCATGGGCCTATCATTAATTCCCTTGTTTATCCTTTGAATCCCAAAGCCGAAATTGGGATATCATCTTTTTGTTCTCAAAGCAATATAATGTGAAAAAATTTCTTTCTATATAAGGAGTTGATGGTTACAGCTGATTAGAGGGAAAAGAAAGTAAAGTGAGATGGAAACGCATTACAGGTTGCATGTTGATGAAGGACACTAATATATTGAAGAGGGAGGAAGGAACGAGTTTCAGCTGGTAGAGGTCATTTATGTTGTTTCAGTGTTTTAATTTTTCCAACAACATGGAAGCAACATTTTTTTGGCGTCGCATTATTGCTAACTCTATACATATGTGTGAACATAAAAGAGCAATTTTGGAAGCGCTCCCTCTCTCAAATATTTTCACGATTGGAATGGATCATTAATTTCAGAGTTTCAAGGATTAGTCGAGATACACACAAATTGTAATTATAAATCAATAATTAAATAGGCTGTCTTGGAGTTGGAAATTTGTTGGAACTTTGTTTAGCAATTGATTTTATTCTAATCCAACCCAAAATCAAGCAAACAGACAACTCGTTTGATATGTCTTGGACACAAATTAGATTGAAGGGCCATGTTGCGAAATGGGCATTACAGAATAATTCCACATACTTACTGACTGCCTGCCTAGAAAATCATAGGTAAAAAAGAATCATCCATTTTATAAAATCTACTCAGTGATCTCCAAATGTAATGCGTATAATGCCCATCATTGCATGTCTAAATTACAACACACAGCTTGATGAGGAGCAAAAGAATTATTAATACTTCGAAATCCAGAAATAAGTTCTTTTTTTTATTTTTTTTTAAAAGAAAAAACAAAAACAAAAACCAAAACAAAACAAAACAAAAATCAAATGGTCTCTCCTGAAATTTTAAAAAATAAACTGATATTTTTTGCTATATATATTAGATATATTTTGTTTTGGGTGTTCTGGTTCTTTCTTGAGCAGTTGATGAAGCTCCTCAAATGGAATGCAAATCTCAACTCCAACTACTATGAGAAACTAATTAAATCTGGAAGTTCTTGATGATTACCATTAACATAATATGGATGGTCAACTGTAATCAAACAAGCTGCAAAAGGGTCTTCTTTTATGGGTGTTCTTGAACCAGAGTCACCATTAAACCTTATCAAATCTTCATCAAATACCTCCCAGTTGTTGGTTATTATGGTCTGTAAAGCTAAATTGCTCTTTAAATCCCTCTTTTCTTCATGCACAGCAATAATCTCCTTTTCCGCAGCAACAACAATTGCCTTATCATTGTAATGATCCTCTTGTTGGGCTTTCGAAACTCCAATTATGCACTCGAGCTGTCTGATATCTTCTTCTGGGACTTGCTGGACTTTAGGACATTCAGATGCGTTAATAACCCCAATCTGTTTGCAAAACTCAAAGTACAAAGCGAGATCCTCGCCTTGCGCTGTTGCTTTCTGCAAAACCTTGAGAGCCATAGAGGCTTCAACCTTACCAGCCGAATGAATCCTCATCAGAACCTTCGCAATCCCGCTACATGTTCTGCTATAAACATCATATATCTCGATGATAATGCAATCCATGGCTTCAAGGATGAGAAACCTAACCATTCCATCGGCTTGGGGTTTGATCTGAAGCAGCATATCTAGCAAGCTCTGCATTTTTTGCAGCCTCACGAGCTCTTGCACTATGGGTTGTTGTTGTTGTTGGTACTGGTGCTGGTGTTGGTGCGGATCTTCTAATGCTTCTTTGATTCGCGCCTTGCGTTCTTGAAAATCCATGCAGAGAAATGCGGATTTCTGATCAAGAAAGGCGTAGTAGGCGCGAACAAAAGCATTGAAGCCCCACATCTTGGCCGGGCTGGCATGTCCATCTTTAAAATTGGACAGGTCGAAAGGTAATCGACCGATCTTCTGCACAGCAGGGACTTTGCAGCAGAAGACACCGTGCATTAGCATCAAGCCCTTAAGAACCACAGCCCAGCTCCGAGTCTTCTCCATACGCATGCTGAGGGCCCAAACGAAGGGCCTGAGGTAAGCAGGAGACATGCGAATCCACGCAAAGACTCGCTGGGCGTTCCTGTAATCGACGTGGGACTCGTCATGGCTGGTGGCTTTGATCACCGCTGCTTCAATGTCAGGGTTCCGGAGCGATGTCCTGCGTGATAGACTCGCTGCCAAAATGCTGTTACGGTCTTTCAAGGCTCCGGAAGCCCTTTTCCAGAGCCTCATCTTCAATTTCTGTTGGACCCCCAAAGCTCTATATTCCCTTTTTTCCTGTTTTTGTATGGTTTGCAATGCCTTTTGAAATGGTTTCTTTTGCGATTCTTTCTCTTGGACAACCAACCTCAGCAGTCAACTATTGCCGGCCGTGTGTGAAAAATAGCCAATTTTTTTTTTTTAATTTTTTATTTGTTTTGTACTGCCTGTTGTTAGCTGTGGTGTCTATTATTTTCTTGTCCAATGTATTTGTTTTGTAGTTTAATTTTAGAAAATATGCATGAATGAAAATATGGTCTGTCATTTGTTTGGAAACTTAAAAAAACAATTTGACTTGGTCAAAGTCGTTGGCTATTCTGTTAAGAGAAAGTGAGACTTTTTTTCTTTATTTTTTTCTTTGTGGGTAATTTCACGACTTGTTTTTTCTCTTTCAAAGCCAACTAACTTGACATAGGTACACAACACGGCTTTGAATGCGCTCTCCTCCTTTGACATCACTCTCATGATTTCAATATTTTTGACTTTGGAACTTATATCTGGGCAGCAGTCTCCATGGAATTTTGAATTACTATTGGAGTAATTCTATCACTCCAAATGTTAATGCCTCACCGGTAAGGTTCTTGCACTCGCCATAACAGTAGCGGTGGCGCAGTTGCAGTTGTAGTTACAGTTGCAGAGTATAAAAATCATAACGTAATAGTTGCGGTAATTGAAACCGTGAATTTTTTTATTTTTCGCACAATTTGAAAAAAACTTACCGATATACATATTTTTTTTCCATGATCATATTTATTGGATTTAAAATAAATATTGATCAATTTTTGTAAATTTTTAAGTATGATCCAATATATTTCATATTTTTAAATCACTATAAACTGAGTTTTTTACATTTTATTTTAATAATTAATGATTTTATATTATATAAAAAATCAATTACTAACTATTATATATAAGATAAACAATGACAAAAGTAAGAGAATAAATAATAGCCTAAATATATATATACATACATATTTTAACCAAGCCAAATGGATAATGACCACACTTATTATTATTATTATTATTATTATTATTTTTTTCCAAACAATATATAGATAGACACACACAAACAAAATCGTTGAATGTTAGCAGTTGAATAGAATAATAACATAGATCTCATAGCTTCAATAAATCAATAACATGTTCTTCATCTTCCCTCTTCTCTCTCTCTGTCTCTTGCTCCTCCATCTTCTCTCTTTATCTTCCCTCTTCTCTCTATCCCTCTTCTCCCATTTTTAGCCCTTTTTTTTGTGTATTTTTTTGAAAGAAGCAGTTCGGAACCATTATGTAACGGTATGTAACGGGCTGTTACGACCGCTACGACAGTCGCTACGGTCGACACACCCGCGAATCTTAATCACACTGCAAAAGTGGCCGTAACGGGTGACGGTAATTACCACAACCGTTACGTAAAAGTGTTACGTAACGATTGCGCTCGCTTTTTAAAACCTTGCTCACCAGTGTGAGATATTTTATAAAAATATTTATAAAATATTTAAAATTTTTAATATTTTTTTTACTTTCGAAATTAAGCGTAACATATTGTGCCTCATTTAGAAATTGAATTTTTTTATAAAAATAAAAATAAAAATTATTATTTAAAGACTTATTATGAATTTTTGATTTTTTAGTTAAAAATCTTATTTCTCAAACACATCATGGAGTGGAATTTTGGGGTCCGATTTCTATGGGAAAAATTTTGCAAATCACTTGAAGGCCTCATTTGAAAATAGACTATTTTAGTATTTTTTTGATTTTTAACTAAAATAGAAGATAAAAAAAATAGGGCTACTAAATGTCCCTACCTTTTTACTTTGGACACCCCTTTTTTTAAAATTTTATTTTATTACAATTTTGTTCTAATATCAAATTCCAATTTTGTCCACATCCCTATCCTCCCAAATCTAACCCCTAATCCCATCACTACTTCCACTCTTGCCGACACCGTCCAAAGACCAACCCACCCTCCGGCAACCTCCGGAACATCACGATCTTCATCAACCAAGATCCAAAACCAAATATTTAAGGAGAATAATCTAAATCTAGAGAGAAAAGTGAGGGTTTACTGAAAGCAAAAGACAAAGACACATTTACAAAAAAATAAATAAAAAGAAAATAGGTGATAGAGAAGAAGAACAAGATTGGGTGATAGAGAAGAAGAACAAGATTGAAAGAATAGAACGAAGAGAGTGCTTTGGGTATAATGGATTTGAGAAGGCAATGTTATGTAAAAGAAAGGAAATGAAGGAAGGAGATAAAAAAGAAAATAAAGTTAGAGGGTCAGTAGGTTGTGTTTTAAGGACAAGATTGTCTTTCGTGTGCGACTCTCTTTCTCATTTCGATTTCTTTCTCTAACTCACAGTTTGGTCGATTTCTTTTCGTTCGGTTACATAGAGCCGAACTTGTTGAATATGTTCAGTGCTCCAAACCGAACATATGTCTTTTGTTCGGCTACATACTATTGAACATCAGGCATTTGTTCGGAACTAATTTTCTAAACGGCAGTAAGAGTGGTAGTGAAGGCAAAAAGAGGGGTTGGGGTGCCTACCAGAATGTGAGAGAGGTCCCAGAAATGCGATGGTGGAGATCGGAAGGAAGAGTGGGGAGTCATCGACGAGAGAAGGGCGTTTGGGGAGATCACCGGAATGAGGGAGGATTGGCAGAGGAGAAATGATGAGTCGCAAATGGAAGATGTAAGGGTGGTGTTCAAAGGGTATATTTAAGATTATGATAAGAATCCAAAGAAAAATAAAGAGGGAAGCAATTTTGGTGATAGGGTCCAAAGTAAAAGGTATGTGTATTTAGAAACCCTTTAAAAAAAATTAGTATGTTTAGATGATTTTTTGACTTCTACAAAAAGAAACGTGCAAAAAATAGGAAAAAAAAAAAAATCTTAACTTTTTGTATAATTTTGACTTTTTAATTTTTTTTAGTGACTTTTAACTTTTAAGCCTTCATTTGGGAAGAAATTTTTTAGCTTGGCTACAAAAGTTCCGTGTAAAAGGTATGTGTATTTAGAAACCCTTTAAAAAAAATTAGTATGTTTAGATGATTTTTTGACTTCTACAAAAAGAAACGTGCAAAAAATAGGAAAAAAAAAAAAATCTTAACTTTTTGTATAATTTTTAATTTTTAATTTTTTTTTGTGACTTTTAACTTTTAAGCCTTCATTTGGGAAGAATTTTTTTAGCTTGGCTACAAAAGTTCCGTTTTGGATAAACTTTTGATTTTTTTATAATTTTGTGAGAAAAAAAGTGAAATGATTATGATTTAAATGTGATATTTTATCTTATAGATTTATTAGTCTACTTTATCTTTCAGTGAGCTAATTGAGTCCCAACCACCTTGCCAAACAGAGCCTAAAATAGTATGTTGAGTATTTACAATGTGCATTTTATTATATATATATTTTGGAAGGATTCCCTCCCGTCTATAATTTGGACTAGATGGTATTCTTTGGGCCTACCAACGATCTCGTTTCGGTAATCTGAACCATTTATTTTGTGGGTTGACATTTCATATATTTTATCCACACACAAAATTAAATTGATCATAACATATTTAATTTATCGTATTTGTCACAAAATTATGAGAACTAAAATAACATTTTGCTTAAACTAAAAGAACCAATAATGTAATTTACTTTAAAATTAATATTATTAAAAAAAATAGTTAAATTCATTTTTAAATATGAAAAGTTTAAGTCACATCACCTCTCTAACACATCACTTCAAACCCAACCCAAACCCAACTCATATTTCATAAAAAGTCAAAAAGTGCACTTATTTAGTCTTCCCAAACTTAGCCTCGTATTTGTCACAAAATTATGAGAACTAAAATAACATTTTGCTTAAACTAAAAGAGCCAATAATATAATTTACTTTAAAATTAATATTATTAAAAAAATATTTAAATTCATTTTTAAATATGAAAAGTTCAAGATTGGTAATTTTTTTTAAAAAAAAAAATACTAATGGTAATTTCAAAAACTTATCACAATTCATAAATAAATAAGAAATTATAATTATACTAATTAATCCTTATAAAATTTAGGGGGATTTTTTTTAAGGTCCCTGATATTAAAAATTTATAGCATAAAGGACACTCAATATTTTTATAATGTCTAAGGTCCTTCAACATCAATCCAGAGAAAATTCGATCCAGAGAAAATTCGGTCCAGAGAAATTCTCTCCAGACATCCAGAGAAATTCTCTTTATCCAGAGAAAATTCAGATAGTCCAGAGAAAATTTAGACATCCAGAGAAAATTCAGATAGTTCAGAGAAAATTCACAAAATCCAAGAAACTCTGCATCATCATGCATAGGCTCGGCTATCCTAAACATGGCATGTGAGAAATCTCTCTCTCTCTCTCTATCACACAATTCATATATATTGGGTATATTTGGGTGGGGACTTTCTGTGGGTATTTTAATTTTTGGCCAGGGTTTACTTATGCTTTTACTTGACTTTGTTGAAGGAAAGTCTCATTCCAGTGGTAGATGAAAGCAGAGAGAGATACAAGACAGAGGTGAAGGAATGGATGTATGCCAAAATGGGGTGGACTGCAACAAAGAGCTCTGGCCAATTGAGCATCCTGTTGAGCCTCCGGATGAAGATCAACCTGTCAAATGCCCAATGCCACACACTTCACTTGTAAACGTACGAAACCTGCATATCACATCCATTGCTTTTGTTATATTCACATTCATATTCTTGCATTTAGTAGCTGCTAATTGCATTATCACATTCACATATTTTGCTCTCTATATTTGATTTTATATCATTTACCATTTAATTACCTAAGCTATTTATCCTTTTATTCCTTAAACAATATTTCAGTATAACTATGATCTATCAATTTGTATCAATTTGAATTTTATATAACTAAATGTCAAATAAACAAATGAAAAACTGACGTGTGATTGTACATGAATATTAAATTGTGACAAGCCCAAAATAACCTATCGTATGAGAACAGGGTAATTTATATTTACACCACATTACCATCTCAGTACACCTATTTTCGTATAACAATTTTGTCCATATCTAAAATTACACCCATCAAGGACTCAAAATCCTCTAGATCTACCACCCCCAGCCTCATCCTTGACTCCTCACCACCCCCTCTCAAATCTGCCACCCCTCCCCTTGCTGATAGCCACCGCCACCTCCCACTGGCACTCAGCCTGCCACTCCCGCTGCCACCCACCACCATGGATCCATATGAAAGATTGGTAGAGAGGGAGAGAAAGGAGAGAGAGACTGAAATGAAGGATTTGTATATCAATGTATGTTATTGAGTTTTCTGTATCTATAAGAGAATGAGCTCTCTCTCTTTATAGAGAGGAGAAGGAGACAATGCCACTCGAAAGCATAAGGCAATACATTACAATAATATCAAAGCTGCTGAAAGTGAAAGTGTGTGGTAGTGGGGAGCTACTTTACAGCTACAAATAGCCTGTGGTAGTGGGGAGCTACTTTACAGCTACAAACACTGTGATGTATATTATATGTTAACAGCTCCCCGCAAACTCAAGGAGGGTAGGCATCGACCAAGTTGAGTTTGGAAACAAGATCACGGAAGCGCCCAGGAGGATGAGACTTGGTGAAAATATCGGCAGGTTGATCGGCAGAAGCAATAGGGAGAAGATGAACAGTACCACGTGTAACATGCTGTCGAATGAAATGACAATCAATCTCAATATGCTTGGTGCGATCATGAAAAACATCATTGTGAGCAATCTGAATGGCACTCTGATTGTCACAATAAAGAGAGGTAGCGCCAGAAGAAGAAACACCCAGATCAGTGAGGAGCCAGCGAAGCCAGAGAAGTTCCTGAGTAGTATCAGCAAGAGCTCGGTATTCAGTTTCGGTGCTAGAACGGGCATACGCCAAGTAAGAAGAGAATCCCCTAAGAAGAAACAGAATCCCGTGGTGGAGCGTTGATCCGTAGGATCCCCAGCCCAATCAGCATCAGAAAAGGCACGCAGTTCAAGAGAGGAGGAAGCAGAGTAGTGAAGGCCATGGAACAGGGTGCCTTTGAGGTATCGAAGGATGTGGAGTAGAGCAGTATAGTGGGGAGTGCGAGGAGCCGACATGTACTGACTAACAATGTGAACAGCATAGGCAATGTCAGGACGAGTCACTGTGAGATAGTCAAGACTACCGACGAGCTGGCGATAAAGAGTAGCATCAGTGAGGAGAGCCCCATCGAGAGGAGTGAGACGAATCTGAGGATCAACTGGAGTAGATGTAGTTTTGCAATCAGTAAGACTAGCACGAGCCAGAAGATCGGATGCATATTTGGCCTGAGATAAATAAGAGCCAGTAGAATCATGAGAGACTTCAAGGCCTAAAAAGTAGTTAAGAGTACCAAGGTCCTTCATCTCAAACTGACGGTGGAAAAAACATTTGAGGTGGAGAATACTAGCTGCATCATTACCAGTGATAATCATATCATCCACATACAGAAGGAGAAGAGTGGTACCATGAGGAGTAGTCCGTATAAAAAGAGCAGAGTCATAGGAGCTAGAGGTGAACCCAAAGTCATGAATGGTAGAATTGAACTTAGCAAACCAAGCGCGGGGTGCTTGCTTGAGGCCATAGAGGGCACGCTGTAGTTTGCAAACTTTATGAGGGGGAAAAGTAGACAAAACTCTTTTAAACACATAGAATAACATATTTCAAAACTCAATTTAGGAAATCAAAGCCCAAGGGTGTTTAATTCAAACCCAATTTCCAACCATTCATCAAGAACAACATCCAAACGTGTCATGCATGAGTTTTACACCAAATTAAAGCTCCAAAACTTGTTCAAATGAGCTCATTTCTTTTCAAAACCAGATGCAAACATGGTCTATAACAACAATATGAGCATGCATGTACCAATGTCCATGTAATCAACCTCAAAACGCAACAATACTAACATGCATGCATGAATTATGCTCTATTTCAACATGCTAGAACTAATTCATGGCTTAGCTCTACAATTTATCATGGACCATGCAAGAATTAGTTCAAACACAAGAATGGGAGGATGAAATCCTTACCTAGGTTCCTTGAATGCAAGTCTAGAGGTTCAATTAAGCAATCTACACTTCAATTCCTCCAATTTCAAGCAAAAGAGATGAAGACACTCCCACTCCCTAATCTCTCTCTCTCTAGTCGGCAATACACCCAAGAGAAATGGCTGAGCATGTGTTGTAATGCATAAGAATGAGCCCTCAAAGCATTAAGTAAGTGACCCACTAGGATGGAAAAAAGGTAATTAAGCCTAACTCTTTAATTAGCTTATTTTAAACTATTTTAATCATACCTAATCAGTTTTCGGATAGATATACTATAAAGTCACATAAATTCTACTGATCATGGGACAACAATCCATTTTGGGTTCGGCCGCCGATAAGGCCTTCAATTAACAATTTAAACATAAAACATAAACAGATCAACAAACAGTCAACAGATAAAATGCAATTCAAACAGATGTATTCGTTTAATTCAGTTTCAATTTTGGTCAGTCAGTTCAGTACTTTAATCAGTTCAACTATCAGTCATAACCAGTCTCGGTTAACAGTAATTAGTAGTTAATCAGTCATTAATCGGTAAACAGTATGAGGGTTGTTACAGGGATGGAGAGGGCAACACAAAGAACGACCAGCTTCTCTCTCTCTATAATGGAGACATGCATACGGCAGACCAGCTTGTTGCTCGGACTCAGGACAACGTGGATGGAGAGGGGATGGGGTGAGGGACCTTAGACTACAAAAGAACACATTGTGGACTTAATCCATTACTAAAAGTTTGATAGGGACCTTAGACCGATTTTTCCTAAAATTTATCACTTATTTGTAATTATTTTTCAAAATTAAAAAAATGAAATTATCCTATTTTTTTGGAACAAATTGGTGCCGTTCCTAAAGCAAAAACAAAGTGAAAAAAGATCTCCTCTCTTTGCCTTTTTCTAACACAAAAGAGAGACACAAACGCACAGGGACCCAATAAAGATGAAAAAAAAGTTAAAATCAGTAGATACGGTGAGAATCTTTTCTCGGCTTTCTCGGTACACTCGATGCCACCGTGCCACCCCTTCTCCCCTCTTGTAGCTCTCTCTCTCTCATTTGGCTCTGTTTCTTTTTACCTTCTGGTATAATCTTTTGTCATTTCTCTATATGAGATTTTCATGGGGGAATCATTTTGTAAGACCCTTCATCTTCTCTCTCTCTCTCTCTATCACACAATTCATATATATTGGGTATATTTGGGTGGGGACTTTCTGTGGGTATTTTAATTTTTGGCCAGGGTTTACTTATGCTTTTACTTGACTTTGTTGAAGGAAAGTCTCATTCCAGTGGTAGATGAAAGCAGAGAGAGATACAAGACAGAGGTGAAGGAATGGATGTATGCCAAAATGGGGTGGACTGCAACAAAGAGCTCTGGCCAATTGAGCATCCTGTTGAGCCTCCGGATGAAGATCAACCTGTCAAATGCCCAATGCCACACACTTCACTTGTAAACGCACGAAACCTGCATATCACATCCATTGCTTTTGTTATATGAAAAATGCCTCATACACCCACTGGGGGTGTGGGTCGACCCCAGTGAGGTGGCCCTCCATAATTGGTCAAAAAAAAAACTGTTTTTTTTTTTTTTTTGGGTTTCAGCCAGTGGGGGGTGCGACGCCTCATTGGGGGTGCGAACCCCACTGGCAGTGAGGCGCGAACCCCACTGGGGTATGCAGCAGTGTTGTATTGCATTTAGTAGCTGCTAATTGCATTATCACATTCACATATTTTGCTCTCTATATTTGATTTTATATCATTTACCATTTAATTACCTAAGCTATTTATCCTTTTATTCCTTAAACAATATTTCAGTATAACTATGATCTATCAATTTGTATCAATTTGAATTTTATATAACTAAATGTCAAATAAACAAATGAAAAACTGACGTGTGATTGTACATGAATATCAAATTGTGACAAGCGCAAAATAACCTATCGTATGAGAACAGGGTAATTTATATTTACACCACATTACCATCTCAGTACACCCATTTTCTTATAACAATTTTGTCCATATCTAAAATTACACCCATCGGGGACTCAAAATCCTCTAGATCTACCACCCCCAGCCTCATCCTTGACTCCCCACCACCCCCTCTCAAATCTGCCACCCCTCCCCTTGCTGATAACCACCGCCACCTCCCACTGGCACTCAGCCTGCCACTCCCGCTGCCACCCACCACCATGGATCCATAGATCAAAGAGAAAGGTGGAAGGAGAGAGAAAACGAAGGGATGTAAGAGAGTGAAGAAGATGAGTGTAAGGAGAAAATGTGAGGTTAGGCATCGGGATAGAGTTGGTATATTGAGGGGCATAAAGAGAGAGTATTAAAGTTTTTAAATTTTTAAATAACTATAATAATGAGACCAATTTGTTGTGTAAATAACACCCTCATCATGGTTAATTATATGGCTTGGTCCTCTTCTTTGTATTGTTGGCAATACAAGGCTTAGGGCAAGGTGCCAATGGAAGATTAGAGTGAGCATCAAATGGTATTCTGGCATTGGGTTCTATTAGGTGAATCTTCAAACTTTGATAGGTAGTTGTGTTGTCCTGAAAGTTTCTCAGCACCCTTCAAGTAGAAATGAAAAGTGATGGATGTAAAATTGAGGGATCCATGAATTGCCAAAACAGCTAAATATAAAATGGGAAGATCCTTACATTTGATCATGAAAATTTAGTATGATGCTTCAGTGGCCATCTTACAAAATGTCCAATCTGTTGGTATGACAATTAATTTCTTCTGCAACAAGTGATTAGAGGAAGCAGAGGATTACCACAAGGTTAGGGAGTGAGAAAATGCAGCAAATGGGCAAAACACCCTTATTTGTTTATAGTTTATAAAAATGAACTAAACCTCTTTCTCATACAACATAACATCTACAATACTATCTTTGTCAGGTTCGTTTGGGATTTGGATTGACTTTTTGGTTATTTTAGCCTGGGATTAAAAAGTCTCATTTGGGATAAATTTTTTGGCTTTTTCATTTTTGTGAGAGAAAAATTGTAATGATTATGGTTTGAATGTAACATTTTGTCTTATTGACTTTTTAGTCTATTTTGTTTTTTTTTTTTTTTTTTGAGGCTATTTGAGCCAAAAAGTCCCAAATTTTTTCTTCCCAAACTTTTTCTTCCCAAACGAGAGCTTAATTAGCTCATTGCACCATAATTGTGCTAGATTAGGATGAGGACAAGGTTCAGGAATTAAACTTAACTATTTTTTATGCTGGAATAATTTGTAACTGAAGTAATTTCTTTTAAAAAATGCTTTAATTAGCATTTGGTAGTCAATGTAAGTTAATCCCTTGAAGAAACACCAATTGATTGGATTTGTTGATAGTTGAAGCGGGCCACTTTGGCAGATGATAAATGTATCAATATGAAGAACAATTTGTATGAAAGCGAACTTCGTAAAGCATACAATACTATGACCTTGTAAATAAAAGGATGGGTAAATAATGCAGGAGTGGTTTTCTGATAGCATGAGGAAGAGAACAGATATATCAGCAGTGATGAACGAAGAAGGAATGATGGTGGTGGCTGCAGAGCCTCCTGCTCAAGCAGTGCGCAAGAGGCACCACACAAGTACTCACGAGGATCGTCATACATTAACTCCTTTATTGAGAATGCCACCACTCCTTTATTGATAGCATTACAATCTTCCAAATGCTGCACCAGTTCAACAAGTTTGAATCATGACAGCGTTTACCCAGCAAGTGGTTTCTTACTCTACTCTCATCTATATGCTTTGTCCTTTACCTATCCCATGAGGAGAAATCTGAATCATTTAAACTACATCTTCTTGTAACTATATTAGCTTTTTCAGATTCATATGTTGTAGATCATCACCAAACCGTCTCCTTGTTGACGAATATTAATTATATAATTATATCTATGATTTTTCATTTAAAAGGCTCCTTGTATATATATACATATTCTGATTTATTTAGTTGAGTAGTATTAATCATGGCATCAAGGGCAGTGATGTTTGCAACATAGCTCATACTACAATTGGAACTTGGAAAATTTCATTGCCAATCATAACACTCGAAGGAGTGTGTGACACAATATTTTTCTGGCGTCGAACAACTTTTATTCTTTAACAAGTACATATTCAATTTCCCCTTATGCACAGTTTACAAAGTGAGTCAGAAGTAGGAATACTCTTTTCTATTTCTGCATAAACCTTATAATATTCTACAGAGTACAGTATTCCTTAATTCAGTAGAGATTTTAGTAGCTTGGTATCACACTAAAAATTAACAAAACCATTTCATAGGAACATAATTTACGTTCACTTCCGGGATGTGAATTTTGTGGAATATGGGCAATAGGCAATACCTATGGATTATGGATGACTTGGTAGTACCTAAGATATTTGATGAGATTAGAGTACTTGTACTGTGTTTGATTATGGGATATAGCATTGAATAAGAATGAAGGGTTACTTGTGGCCATTAGATAGAGATAAGCTCTAATCACATGGTATGGGATTAGTACTATGAAGATGGTAGTTACTAATCAACATTTTGCAGTACTAGTAATCCCATGGGTATGGCATTACTAAATTGACAACAAAAGGCATATAGGCTGTACATGCTTTTTAATCTCACATCTAGGGGTGTACATGGTTGAGTTTGGTTTGGATTATGTTTCCACGATTTCTTGGCAAACAAAGCAAAATCAAGAAATATATAATATATATTTATCAAGAAAACCAAATTAAAAAAAAAAAAAGAAAAGAAAAGAAAAGAGAATTCTAAGACAAGAATAAAAACTATGAAAGCCAAACATTATTATAAAAATAACTAAACAAATTCCAATACTGGTAATTTAAATGGAAAAAATTGGGAAACAAACAAATATATATATACACATATATAAAATAAAAAAAAAAAACTTAATTATTGTCAATTTAAAAAAAAATAATTAGATAAATAAAAATAGTATCAATCGAGATTGAGACAAAAGAGTATGTCCCTTTTTTTATTGCACACGAAAGATGTACATTTTTTTTTTGATAAATAAAAATATGTCCATTTTTCTAACATCAACCACTAAGTTCCAAAAGTTTTGAAGTCTGTTCCCACGATTTCTTGGCAAACAAACCAATAGACAAAATAAAATCAAGAAACATATAATATATATTTATCAAGAAGGAAACAAAATAATTAGAGCAAATTTAACAAAAATAAAGAAAATACTGAGCAAAGAATTGCAAGAGAAGAATAACTATGAAAACCAAACAATATACAAATAACTACCAAGTAACCAAACTATAAAACCATTACTGATAAATACTGTTCATGTCATATAATTAAGGAATCAAGAAATTGAGAAAGAGGTACCAACAAAATTTGAATACAAGTAATTCAAATGAAAATATCTGGGAAAACAAAATATATATATATATATATATATGGAATAGAATATATAGTTAATAGTGTCAAATTTAAACCAAAAAAAATTCATAAAAGAAACTAAATATTAAAATTTTAATTACGAATTAAGTTTATAATTTTGAGTGAACAAATCTTAAGAGACAGAAAGTCTCAAAAGAGATTGTGAGAAAAATATGTCCATTTTTTTAATGCTTGCAAGAAATGTTCATTTTTTTAACATCAAACATTGATATCCTAAAGTTATAAGTTATGTTTTCACAATTTCTTGGCAAACAAATTAATAGACAAAGCAAAATCAATAAATATCTAATATACTAGCATACGCGATGCATAAACAATTCAAATAAGTAAAAATAAAACAAAATATTGTGTGTCACTCAAATAGTAAGGGTGTATTTGGTAACGTTTACGTTTTCAGTTTATATTTACAAAAATTTTATAAACTGGTTTTTGTTTATTTTTTGTTTATTTTTAGAAAAACATAAACTACAAACGCGTTTGGTAATTGACAAAATGTTTATAAAATTTAAAAAATATAAAAAAGAGTGATAAATGGCAAGTAGTGGCAAGTGGCGGCAAAAGACGGTGGGTGGTGGGTAGCTGGTGGTGGTGGGTGGGTGGGTGACGGTGTTGGGTGGTAGCGAGTGGGTGGTGGTGGTGGCGGTGGCGGTAGGTGGGTGGTGGTTGGTGGGTGATGGTGGTGGTGGTGGTGGGTGGTGGATGGTGGATGGTGGTGGTGGGTGGTCACATTTTTTGCAACGACAAGTTGTGCCGTCTCAAAAAGTCACATTTTTTGGCGACGGCAAGTTGTGCCGTCTCAAAAGATCACATTTTTTGCGACGGCAAGTTGTGCCGTCTCAAAAACTCACATTTTTTGCGACGGCAAGTTGTGCTGTCACAAAAAGTCATTGTTAGTCATCAAATCCCACATGGATAATTAAACATCTCAATCAAATACAAAAATAAAAATTTAACTACCATAGCATCAAATACAAAAAAACATAAAAATTATATCTAAAATTTGGCTCTAACTTACTATAGCATCAAATACAACATTTTTTTTGTTAGTCATCAAATCCTACATGGATAATTAAACATCTCAATCAAATACAAAAATAAAAATTTAACTACTATAGCATCAAATACAAAAAAAAACATAAAAATAATATCTGAAATCTGGTTCTAACTCCCAACAACATCAAATACAACATTTTTTTTGTTAGTCATCAAATCCCACATGGATAATTAAACATATCAATCAACAACGAGAACAGATGTATTTCTGAAAAAATTAAGCAATGGAAATAAGTTATGACACCAAATAAGACCCTGCTAAAAATAATAGCACCAAAACATTTATTTGAGACAAATTTGGCATAACCATCTTTAATTTCAGGCTTTAAAAAATGCTATTGAAGCTGCAATTCCTTGTAAAATTACAAAATTCAAGAAGCTGCAATTCCTAGTAGTAGTAGTGGCAATAGTGGCAGTGGTGATAGTGGAGTGGTGGCAATGATGGTAGTAATGGTAGTCGTAGAGGTGAAATGGCGTTTGCAGTAGTGGTGAAGGTGGTAGAGGAGATGAGTAGTGAGAGAGAGAGATGAGTGAGAGGCACAGAGAGAGAGAGAGAGAGAAAAGAAATGAGAGAAGAGATAGATGAATGAGAGACACAGAGAGAGAGAAAGACAAATAGACAGACAGAGAGAGAAGAATGATGAATGAGAGAGAGAGAAAGAAAATAGAGAGAAAAAGATGAAAAAATTGGTGAAAAAATATAGACAGAGAGAGAGAAAAAAAAGAGCGAAAAGAGATAAACGAGAGAGAGATAGAAAGAGATGAACGAGAAAGCGCGAGAAAAAAAAAGAAGAGAGAGAAAAGAGAGACAGAGAGAGAATATAGATGAAAGAGATAGAGAGAAGAGAGATAGACGAGAGACATAGAGAAAAAGTGAGACAGGCAGACAGACAGAAAAGAGTGATGAGTGAGAGAGAGAAAGAGAAGAGAGACAGAGACACAGAGAGAAAGAAAGAGACGAACAGACAGAAAAGAGTGATGAGTGAGATAGAGACAGAGAAGAGAGACAGAGACACATAGAGAAAGGGAGAGACAGACAGACAGACAAAGAAGAGTGATGAGTAAGAGAGGAAAAGAGAAGAGAGACAGAGACAGAGAGATAGGAAGATGAAAAAATGGGTGAAAAGAGAAATATTCAAAAGAGTAAGATGACGTCATTTATAGTGGATTGATAAATCGAGAAGGAGCTCGATAAATAGAGAAGATGAGAGTAAGAGAGTGAGCAAGGCGAACATAGTGAGGAGAAATAGACAAATAGATAAGTAGAGAGAGAGAGAAGAGTGATGAGTGAGAGAAAGACTGGGAGAGAGAGATAGACAGAAAAAGAGATAGAGAGAGAAAGAGAGAGAGAGAGAGATAGAGATAGAGGGAAAGATAGAAAAGAGAGAGAAACAAGAGATGAGCGAGAGATAGACAAAAAGAGAGAGAAATAGAGCGAAAAGAGATAAGCGAGAGAGAGACACAGAAAAAGAGAGAGAAGAGAAATGAGCGAGAGAGATAGAGAGAGATAGAAAGATAAGAGAGAGAGAGAGAGATAGAGAGAAGAGAAATGAGCGAGAGAGACAGAGAGAGAAAACAGATGAGAGAGATAGAGAGAAGAGAGATAGGCGAGAGACATAGAGAGAAAATGAGAGAGAGAAACAGACAGACAGAGAAAGAAGAGTGATGAGTGAAAGAGATAAAGAGAAGAGAGAGAGATAGAGACAGAGAGACATGAAGATGAAAAAAATGAATGAAAAGAGAAATGTTATATCAAAAAAGTAAGAAGACATTGTTTTTTTAAATTTTTTTTGCGACAGAAAAAAGTACTAGAATTTATTCAAACCATTTTGTGACTGTATATATATGAAGCTGTCTCAAAACCACAATCACTATGTTAGGTTAGAGTTTTCCAAAAACTCTTTTGAGAAAATTATACTTTCTTGTTTTCCGTGTTATATTGTTTTTACTGAATTTTTTTAATATTTAATTTTTTTAATTTTTAGACACACCTAACATAAATACACCTAAAAAGTAAAAAAATCTTTTAAAAATTCACTAAATACCAAAAATACAAAAGAAATACAATAATTCAATACATTTTTTTTTTATATTTGTATGTATTTATTAATTTTTAAAAATATTTTTTCATAATTTTTTTT